GGCGGGCACTCACCGGTTGTAGCCGCTGAGGGAGAAGGCACCCTGCGGGGAGGCGGAGGTGCTGGTCTTGAAGTAGTAGATGCATCGCTTGTGGATGATGACAAAGCGCAGGGGCCCTGTGGGCAGCGGGGCGAGGTGCGGGTGAGCTGGGGGCCACTGGGCAGACCCCACTCTGGGGACCCTCCCCAGGGGCCAGGGGCGATTGGACCAGGCTTTGAACCCATGGACTGGAAGGGCAAGGAGCTGGGCTGGCATGCGGGCCCCTCCCCAGGAGTCCAGAATGGGGTCAAACGGGGACACAGTCGTGGGCATGATGGCCGGCCCCGGGCAGGGGAGGTGTGGGCACTGGCTGTGCGGACAAGGGCTGTGAGGCTGGCTCCAGGACGGGCAGAGCAGGGCCAGAGGCCTGGGGAGGCCCAGCCGCCTTGCTGGGTGCTGCGGGCTGCCGGAAGGTTCCCTCCAGCCCAGGCTGGCACAGCGAGGGAGGGGCAAAGAGGAGGCACAGAGGCCCCGAGTGTGGCTCCGACCCCAGGCTGAGCAGTCAGTCCCGCTGAGACCCCCTCTCCGCTGCCCCATCCCAAGCAGCCCCACGTGCCCTCGAAGGCACCCTGTCCAAAGACGGCAGGCCAGCGGGGGCCCAGCCTGGGGCACCACGACCAGGCAGCACTCGGAGGGATGGGCAGCGCCTTGACAAGTGGCATCTCGCAGGCCCAGGGCTCCCCTCTCCCAGCTGCGGCCCCAGGGCCCAGCCCCCACTTTCATGCAGCTCGAGAGTCTCGGCTTGGCACGTGCGGTCATTTCTAACCCCGGTGACCGACCAACTCCCGGAACACCCACCGCACAGGGCGAGGGCGAGGGCTCAGCCTGACCAGCTGGTCGGCACCGTCACCAAGGACCCTAGCTCTGCACCACCTACGCCCCTCCCAGTCCTGCGAGCGGCCACCTCGGGGAGGGAGGGGAGCCCTGGCGGCCCCCACGGAAGGAACCGGAGGCTCAGCTCTGCCCCGCGTCCCCCCACCACGCTCCCACCACAGGGACTCACATTTGAGCAGCTGCAGCTGGGTGCCGCCCTTCTTGTGCAGGTAGCCGGCCTTGGCCACGCCCCCGGGCATGGTCAGCAGGTTCTGGGCACCGATGGCCTTCATGGGGACAGGCCAGTGCATCTCCTCGGCCGCCATGAAGCTGCAATGACAGCAGAGATGTCTCAGCCAGGGGTGGGGACAGCGGGGGGCACCACCAAGGTCCTGAGGCCGTGTGAAGGCTCAGGGCAGGAGGGTGAGTGGCTGCCTTCCGAAGGCCCAGGCTTCCGGGGGGGACCCCGGAGACAGGGCGCCTGGGCCGCTTGGTCAGCCCCTGGTCCATCTGGCCACATACCGGGCACCCAGGGACCCTGAGAGCTGAGGGTGCTCTTTCATGGTCACTGGTTCACTCAGCTCTTGCTTACTGAGCTCAAGGCCCCTGGAGGCTGGGGACAGCAGGGAATGAATTCAGGAAACCACCAGCCCAGGAAAGGCAGGCCTCAGGCCATAACCACCCGAGGACAACTCCCAGGTGAGTCTATAAGGGCCCCGCCCTAGACAGGAGATTCAGGGAGGGCTCCCAGGAGGAGGTGTTGAGTCACAGCCTGAAGGAGGGAGTTAAAGAGGTTCGGGGCTGGGGCAGGCCCTGGGCACCCTCTACACCAGCTCCGACCTTCAGCAGGGAGGGACATGGCTCCTCGATACCCCACCCTCCACTCCTACCTGCCCTTAGCTGGCTTCTGTCTATCCCTTTCTTTTTTTCTTATTATTTTTGTTTTATTATTGATTTTAGAAAGAGAGGAAGGGGGAGAGAGAGAGAAAGAAATATCGATTTGTTGTTCTACTTACTTATGCATTCATTCATTATTTGATTCTTGTAAATGCCCTGACCAGGGATCTAACCCACAACCTCCGCATATCAGGACCACACTCGAACCAACTGAGCTACCCGGCCAGGGACTGTCCATCCTTTCCTTCGGGCCCTGACCAGGAAGCAGAAAAGCAGGTAGCCACCAGCCCCCCAGCTCCTGGGTCAGGCAACCCAGGTTCCTGTCCTGGCCCGGCCTTCCAGGGGATCCCTAAGCCTCCGTTGCTGGGGCTGTAAAATGGGAGGACAGCGCAGGTGCAGCTTGGCACACAGCACACCCTCACCCCCGCAGGGACCACACAGTACATGGTCCCAGGTGTTATAAACAGACATGAGCAGAGCAAGGACGATGGGCCAGGTACAGACCGCACCAGGGCAGAAAGCCCCAGGTGCCTAGCAGGGGGCAGAACTGGGAAAACAAGCCTTTCCTCCCCTAGCTGATCACTGGTCAGGCTGTGTAGACCCCTGACCTTTCCCGCCCTCAAGATAACATCTGGGCCTCGGTTGTAAGTCAGCTCCAGGCCCAGGAAAGCAGCAAAACCAGACAAGTGACACCAGTGGCTGCCTCAGGACCAGCAGCATTGAGTAATGACCCTGCCCTGGAGCCGACCAATTAGCGGAGACCATGACCCAGAAAGAGCACCCCCGCAGGGCTGATGGTATTCCAGCAGACCCTCCCTGAGCCCTCCCCTAAGATCCTCCCAGCAGGAGGGGATAGCTCAGGGCCAAGGAAGTCCCTGAGGACACACACACTCACAGCAAGAGAGGATAGCTCAGGGCCAAGGAAGTCCCTGAGGACACACACACACACACACTATTCCCTTTCCCATTCTTCCCTCTAAGGGTCCCCACAAGACCTGCAACCAGGGGAGCGATGCGCAGTAGCAGCTCGCGGCTCACCCCCTGACCCTGTGTCCAAGGCCCCCTCTTCTCTGACTTCCCATTGAGCCCAGGCTGGGCTGCCCTGTTGCTTCTTCCATGCCCTTCCTTGTTTTACATTCCTAAGTACATTTTTGCAGCAGTCAGTAAATTCTTTTTATATATGTATATACATATATACATATATACATATATATATATTGATTTCAGAGAGGAAGGGAGAGGGAGAAAGAGATAGAAACATCAATGATGAGAGAGAACCATTGGTTGGCTGTCTCCTGCACGCCCCCCGACTGGGGATCAAGCCCGCAACCTGGGTATGTGCCCTTGACCAGAATCGAACCTGCGACCCTTCAGTCCGCAGGCCGATGCTCTATCCACTGAGCCAAACCAGCCAGGGCATTGGTCAAATTCTTGCTGCTTTTCTACACCGTCTTTTTTCCCCACACTGATCTTTTAGAGCAGCGGTCGCCACCCGGTGGTCCGCGGACCACTGGTGGTCCATGAGGTCCGATAGGTTGGCGACCGCTGTTCTAGAGAGTGGAAGGGAGGTGTAGAAACACAGAGAGACATTGACCTGACACATCGATTGGTTGCCTTCCGCATGCGCCCCGACCAGGGCACGCGCATCCAGCCTGCAACCAAGGTTCGTGCCCTTAACCAGAATGGAACCTGGGACCCTTCAGTCTGAGGGCCGACACTACCCACTGAGACACACCGGCTGGGGCTACACGTTGTCTCTTGATTGAAGTGTTTCCCTCAAGACAAGAACCAGGTCCCTTCGACTCCCGGTAACACAGGAGCAGGGTGAGTCTGGGGCAGGGTGGGGACGGCCAGCCCTCAGGCCCGCAGGTGCAGTGAGATCATCGGCCGGGCCCTGCCAGGGCGCTGGGGGAGGTAATCGCGGTTTGGCCGAAGGCGGCAGGCTGGTTGTTAGTGGTGACTCTGCACGGCCCGCAGGGATGTTATAACTGCCCCGTGGCCCCGCAGGAACAGGCGTCCCCACCCGGGCTCGGTCGGCCCCGGCCCCTGTTCCCTCTGTCCAGGCTCCCGGCCCGCAGGCTGTTCTCACTCTGGCTCAGCTGCCCTCTCCCACGCGGCTCCTGCTGCTCCTCCAGGACCCAGACCCGGTCCCCTGCTGCGGGCACCACGTCCCGCCACCCCCCCAACACTCTACCACCACCC